AATGACTTCTAAAGGCTTTATTGAGATGTAATTCACACATAAGTCATTAATTCAATGACTTTTACTCAATGAGTTTTAGGATATTTACAGAGTTGTGCATCCATCACCACAATCAAATTTAGAACACTGTCATTAACCCCTCCATCGTACCCCCCCCCAAAAAAAAAATCCCACACTGCTTAGTCCCCGATTTCCCACCCCACCAGCCCTGGGCAACCATTAGTCTACTCTGACTATTATACAGGTTCACCTATTCTTGACAAGTCATATAAACAGAATCATACAATACGTGGTCCTTCATGCAGCTTCACTCACTATATGTGATGATTTCAAGATACAATCATGTTGGAGTAAGCATCCTTTTTATTACCAAATAGTATTCCATTGTATGGATATACCACATTTAACATTATCAATTCATCACTTGATGGACATTTGCATTATTTCTACATTTTTACTATTATGAGTAATGCTGCTATGAAAATCTGTATACAAGTTTTAGTGTAGACATATGTTTTCATTTCTCTTAGGTACGTACTTAAGAGTAGAATTGTTGAATCATAAAGTAACTGTATGTTTAACCCTTTGAGGAACTGCCAGATGGTTTTCCAAAGTGACTTCATCATTTAATTAAATTATTTTAAAGAAACTATTGATTTTAAAACCTCCCTCAAATATAGAAAGGAGCTCTGGCCATGCGGTGGTTAAAGCATGGGCTGCTAACCAAAAAGTCAACAGCTTGAATCCACCAGCCATTCTGCAGGAGATGAGGCAGTGTGCTTCCATAAAGATTCACAGCCTTGGAAATCCTATGGGGCAGTTCTACTGTGTCCTCTGGAGTTGCTATGAATTAGATTCGACACTATCAGTGGGTTTGGTTTTTTCAAACATAGAAAGGTAAGTTTTTCTATGTCTAATCTAACCCTTCACAGGCAATTCTCCCCTTAGGCCCACCATGGTGGCAGGCTTCCTTACCATCTTTTCTCAAATTTTTCACCTCCCACTGCCATTGAGTCAATTCCAACTCATAGATATCCCACCGGGCAGAATAGAACTGCACATTGGGTTTCCAAGGCTATATATCTTTACGAAAGCAGACTGCCTCATCCTTCTCCTGTGGAGTGGCTAGTGGGTTCAAACCGTGGATCTTTTGATTAGCAGCCAAATGCTTTAACCACTACACCACCAGAAATCCTTTAACCTACCTCCTAATTCCCTCAAAAAGAAAAGCAGCCAGGAGTTAAATAATGAATTCACTAGTGTGACTCTACGAAGTGCTCTCAGTTCCTAAATAGACCAAGAGGTTGGCCGGGAAGATAGAAATAGTTTTAAAGAGATCCAAAACTAAAGTGAGGCAGAAGGTATCACTGCAATCATAGGGACAGGCTGATTGTTTGTTGCTCTTTAAAGGGGGATTTCCCAGCAGCGGGGGGATGGGAACAGGATGCTGAGGAAATGGTACTTTCTTTAGGGAAGGAAGCCTGGACACAGGGAGATCTAAGTTTCATCTCTGGCAAAGAAAGGTGGTTGGTAGGACAGAATATCTTCTAGCAGAAACTTTGAAATTCTGAAATTTAGTTTGTCCTACGAGGAGCCTTAATTCGTCCTCAAACAATAAAGTCCATTAAAGTGGTATTTCCAATCGCCTCGTATGCATGTGAGAGCTGGACAATGAATAAGAAAGACCGAAGAAGAGTTGATGCTTTTGAGTTGTGGTGCTGGC